ATATATATATATACAAACCCACTCGAATGGAGAAAAACAAAAATACAATCAATCACATCCATACAAGTGGGGTAAGTAAAGTGGGAAAAACAAAGAAGGTAAGATATATATATGGGTGAGGAAACGCATAAATCTCAACTATTATATTTATATTTATATGCTTTTTTTTTTTTTTCCTTTCCATTGATCCTTTATGGCTCTTACCAACCCAACGAGGTGTACTTTTTTTTTTTCTTCTTCCTCCCCTTTCTAAAATAGAAACCGTTTTTTCTTTTTTTTTTTTTGAAAACAAGTAAAACGTTTAAATCATTCATCTGTGCAACTTCATCATGACCATTTTCCTCACCCGTTTTTTATTTATTTTTTTCCATCAACTTTCTTTTTTATTATTATTATTTTTTTTTTTTTCTCTTTTGCTGGGTATACTATCATATATCCCTTCCTGGGTGTCTTTTGGTCTCCCTTATTCACCTCTCTGTTTGCTTAATATGCATCGATGTAGGGATGTACATATTGCCATACATGTACGTCCATTAGACTTTTTTTTTCTTTTATTTCCATTCCCTTTTAACCTCTCTTTCTATCTCTATCTCTCTCTCTCAAACAAACTAGTTCAAGCCTTACCTCACTCAACTACCTCATACTACGCATATATATATATATATATATATATATATATATATATATATATATATATATATATATATATACTATAGACGTGACAATTTCGGAATATCATCCAATATGACATTCCCGCCTGAGAGAATAATGCCAATGTGCCGATAACGCGTCAGTTCCTTCGGTCTCTGCAGTACTGCCGCTATGGCCGTTGCGGCTTCAGCATCAATCACCAATTTGCAGCGTTCATACACAAAACGAAAGGCGTATCGTGTTGCAGCGGCATTCACACAAATAATTCCATCCACATTTCGTTCCACACATTCCGCCACTTCTGGGGTCATAGTCCCAAGCAATTCCGACGGGAGTGACGCCCCAGATGTATGATCGGAAATCACAGGGGGCAACTTAAACTCACTGCCATTTCTCTTATTATTATTATTTTTACCATTCTTATTATGAGCTTTACTGTCATTCTTCTTCATTTCCTGGTTCTCCTCATCATCGGTGTTGAGGGCTCCGTAGACGGCTATATTTGGCTTCATTCCCTTCACGGCGAGTCCCACACCGGCGAGCAGAGCGGCCCCGGCGGCGGGCACCACCACCGCGTCCAGCCGGCAGTCCGTCTGCAGCATCAACTCCACGCCCGCAGTGCCGTGCCCGGCGGCCACCCATTTATCCTGCGGGTGCACGTACACACAACTGCTCGCCTCTTCGCCCTTCTCCCGCACCCCGCCGCCCGCAGTGGTGGAATCCATCATCCGCTGCACGAGTTGCATCTGCTCATCGGCGGAGGGGCCGCACGGGTACATGCGTCCACCGTAGTGACGAATAGACTTCACGACAATATCACTGGGGTTGGGGGGAATGACAATGTGGCCAGTGGCATCAAAGGCATTGGCCGCAAGGGCAACGGCAATGCCGTGATTTCCCAAACTTCGTGCCACAAAGTGATTGATTCCAAGATCCATCTGTTTACTATGAATCACGTGATTTACCGCACCACGGAGATTGTAGGCCCCTGTACGCTGGAGATTCTCACATTTCAATACAATCTCTTCATGATCGGATTTCTGCCGTAATGCGTTACTTGTGAGGATTGGGGTTTCATGTACATAGTTACGGATCGCCTTGTGGGCCGTCATCACATCATGAAATGTAGGCATTTGTATATATATATATATACTACGTATTGAAATTATATTTTGCTTTGATTATTCTGGCTATTGTAATAATAGCGTTACTGAATAATAATAATAATAATAATAATAATAATAATGTGACAAAAAAAAAGTTGTTATTGCTTTGATTTCTTTTGTAGTTCCCTCAGTTTTTTTTTTTGTTGTTGTTGACACCCTCGTCTAGGCTATTTGACTTCCGTTTTTTATTTTGTTTTTTTACTATTAATTATTACTCTTTTCTTCTTTTTTCTTTATACTTTTTTCTTTTGTCCTTGATGGTGTTGCCGTTATTGTAGATGTGAAGTTATACTCTGCGCTTGGGATTGCTATGACACGACTTTGTTTGAAAGCTTTATTTCGCCTGAAATTTCTTTCTTTTTTTTTTCTTTCCTTTCCTTCCCTCCTCCTTTTTTTTTTTTTTTGTGGTTTTGATTAACTAATTTTCTTTTTTTCTCAAAAGTCAAAAAAAAAGGGATATTTGAAAGGAGAAACTTCTGTAGAAACACAATCAACCCACACAGAGAGTTATGAATAGTAACAACAGTCATACCAATAGCTCCAATAGTGGAGGTAACAAAAAAAAAAAAAAAAAAAAAAAAAAAAAACATTTAACCGCAAAAGGAACACCAGACGAACGTACACAAATACAGACCCAATCACTCATACAGGCAAACAAACAAACAAGTAAAGAGAGATATCCAAACAGAAAAAGAAAAAAAAAAGGAGAAACGCCAAACAGACAGTCACACACACACACACACACAAACACACACAAACAACTAAACAAACATAAACAAAGAAACATACAACATAACTTTACAAGTGTTTATCATTAACATATTCCTCCTCTTTCTTCCTCTTTTTTTTTTTTTTATTCTTCTTCTTATTTGTCTTCTCTCTCTCTTTTTTTCTTTTCTTCCATTCTTTCTTTTTCTTTTTTTTTTTTTTTTAGGTATACTGCTTGTAAATATGTGTTGCCTGCCGTAGTGCTATCTCACGCCGCATCCTTTCAATCGCCTCAACAAGTCCCTTCTTTGCAGACTTTAACGCTGCGAGATCTATTTCCGCCCCGGTGAGTTTTCTCCTCCCGCGGCCCGGCTTCAACACAATAGCCGGATCCACACCGTAACTCATATACGGCTGTTGATGAGAATCTCCTGTTTGGGCCAAACTATTCCCTTGACGATGCGCCGATGTGAAGAGTTTAGAGCCGGCCACACTATCCAAATAGGCCTCTGCCAACACCGCATCATCCGGTCCCTCTTCCATAATATACTTCCAACACGATACTCCACCATCTTCGTTAAAGGCATCCGCCGCACGTAATGGTGGGGGTGTACCATTGGGTCCTTTTTGTGGATTTTGTTGGGCGGCGGCCATTGCACGTGCCGTCTTTACCGTAGCAACACGAAAACGAAGCATCTCTGGTAATGATATAAGTGCCTCTTGTAATGGAATGGGTGGATCTGGTATCACAATCTCATCATAGTGTTCCGTGACAACAGGTGTTTGTACGAGTGTGTAGCCAATATGTTCCTCACGTTCATAGGGCCGTCCAAGTGGTGGGATACAATGGGCCCGCCGTGGACGATGAGAGAAGCGTAAAAGATGGGAGAGCATCACCACACCTGGACACATCTCCAGAGTGGATACAGCTGGCATCGCAGAAGATTGAATTTCATCATTGATGTTATTATTATTATTATTATTATTATTATTATTATTATTGTTATTGTGGTTATGATTATTACTGTTGTGTTTGTAAATAGATTCCTCTTCCTTTTCTCGTTTGATCTCCGTCTTCACAACACTTGTCAATCGAGCACTGTTGTTGTTATTATCATTATCATTATTATTATTATCATTATTATTATTATTATTATTATTATTATTATTATTATTATTATTATTATTATTATTATTAGTGCTGTGGTAAGCATAGCGACTAAGTACATCCACCACTGGAGACAAAACAGGACCCCGTGTGAATCCCGCCAATGGCTGTGCCGTACGTGTTGACAAGAGTGCGGAAGCCACTTTAACATCAGAGCTCCACTCCACTGCTGATGTCGTTCCTGTTGAAATGGATGATGATAATAAAGATGATGAGTTCCACATTACTTGTATAGGACGTGGGTAATGCCGTAGCTGTACTCGCATATTCACCACAAACTCACCCCAACCCACTTCCGTTAACTCAAAGGGTGGAGATGTTACCAGCCGTTCACTCGGTGTGAAGGACGGGTCAAGAATAAATCGCACGGACTCAATGCAATGTTCCACATATCGTGTCTCGTTAAAGAGACCACGAATGTATACAGTCCATTGGTGGCTTTTATCACGACTTTCTGTGTTGATGAGTCGCACAACACCACCTACTATAATAGGAATCACCGCCTCAAGGCTTCGATCGTCTTCATCCTCGTCCTCATCATTGTCATCTTCATTACCATTACTATTACCATTAGTTTGCGTATTATAATTATAATTACTATTAGTATGAATACTGTTACTACCATCGTTATCGTCGTTATCATCATCATCATCATCATCATCTCCAGTATTCTCATTATTGATGTTATTACGTTTATGGTTACTTTGACTACGTGCATCCAACTCGCTATCATCACCGTTATCATCCTCATTATCATTTTCGTCCTCATTGCTGTCATTATTTTTATTTTTCTTATTGCTGCTGCTCTTCTCTTCACTGGTGTCACGACGCCAGTATGGACGACGCTGAGGTTCTTCTTCACTCCTCTCATCCTCAGTGCTACCACTACTCATATTACTTGTGTTATCATTGTCATCCTCCGCCTCAACCGCACTACGCGAACGTCTCCGTTTGGACGTACGCTCACGTCCTGCAGTAATAGCAGTCGTATTAGTATTACTAGTACTCGTAGTCACTTTCCCTGAGTTTAGATAATGTTTAGCCCATGTCACCTCCAATATTGTAGGTGCTACCTCCGTTGAAGTATCTAATGACAAACGTTGGCCACCAAAGGAACAAATACAATTGTTCACCCACAATGCCTTTTGTTTAGATCGTGGTAGAGCAGTAATAGTAGAAGTAGTAGAAGTAGTAGAAGTAGTAGTAGTAGTAGTAGTAGCAGCAACAGTAGATGAAGGAGATGAGCCAAGTGGTGATTGGGGTGGTGCTGGCACAGCTACAGCAATGAGTTCACGCAATGTATGTACATCGCGGCAGTCGATAGAGGCTTGGTAAACCTCACCCTCAAACTGAATTGTGAAGACACGCGATGTCTGATTTAGGCCCTCACGGACCATTTAATCTATCCCTCTATTTTCTCTTACTCGGTTCCGTTTATATCCACGTTGTTCGTCCTTCTTTGTTTTCTTTTTTCGCCTTCTTTTTTTTTTTCTTCTTCTCCTTCTCCTTCAACTCCCTTTTCCTCGCCTCTTTTAATATATAGATATTATACTTTACACCACCAATCAAGCGGGCAATTTTCTATATATTCTCTAACCATATAAGAATGAAAAGAAAGAATGAATGAAAATGAAGATGTAGAGATAATAACTTGAGCAATATTATATTTCAATGTAGAAAGAGAAAAAAAAAAAAAGAAAAACAAATGAATGAGGGGACTACAACCATCAATAGAGGTGTCATGCTGATTCATATTAGCAGTAGGAGCAACGTTACCTGATTCATGTTAGCACTCTGCTCCATATATATATATATATATATATATATATATATGGAAATGTATATATGGATAGGTGTGTGTTTGATTCTCTACTCATCAAGAGTTGTATACAACTCCATATACACACAATAATTCTATGTATTCACTTTCTATATTTTTTCTGTTACTCCCAGCAATACATGCCAATAAAAGAAAAGAAAAAAACAATCGTTTATAAACGAAAGAAGAACTGCGACGATAGCTGTTGAGAGAAAAAGAAAATTATAGACACAGAAAACAATACAAAAAAAAAAAAGAAAAATAAAAAATAAAATAAAAAAGAACATAAACGATCTTGTAAAGTAAGTCAAAAGAAATTGAGATCTTGTGAAATATGTTTGTATTCCCATTAAATCATTTTAACTTCGCCAATATCCGTCTTGATAAAATATAATGCAGAAAACCCACATGTATGGTTTCCCTCACTCCTCATTTTTATTTATTTTTTTTTTTTCTTTTCATCGCACAAATTATCAGCATAAATAAATGTCTATTCATTCCATCTATCCATTGTTCTTCTATGGCATTTGACTCTTTTGCTTATTTTTTTATTATTTTTTCTTTCTTCTTTCACCTTTTTTTTCTTTTTCTCTCTCTTTACCCTCTTCCTTCATTAATAAACGTCATCTTGGCCATGATGCTACAAAGAGTTCTCTCTCTATGGTTTAACACTTCTCTCATTTTTTTTCTTTTTTTTTTACGTCTCTATCTTCTTCCTCCTTTTCCTTTTCCTTTTCCTCCTGTTGTATTTCTTATTTTTTCAACCCCCTCACGCCTCATCCAACATGGCGGCGATATCATTAAATCCCGCCTCCCGCGCACACTCCGTCGCCGTGCTGCCCCGCACGTTGCGCAGTCCAACCAACAGCCCCGTCGCCGGATGCCCAAAGCGCAGCCACTGCACGACTGCGGCCCGTCCGCCCTGCGCGGCACTGTGGAGAATGGTGTTTCCATTGTTAGACCGCAGGGCCCGCAGCTCCAGCATTGGAATAGAGGGAGAGGCCTGGAGAAGAGTCTTCAGCACATCGGTGTGGCCATACCATGCGGCAATGTGAAGAATTGTGCGGCCAGAGTAATCCCGCACGTGTTCAAAGCCACGTGAGAGAAGAGGATCTTCCTCCCGCAGTCGCTGAAATACAGCTGTATTTCCCGCCACTGCAGCCGCAAGAAGATCATCAGGTTGATGGTAAAGACCAGAACCAGAGATAGTATTATTATGAAGACCTCCTCCTGATGATGATGATGGCAAAGAATTCATTCCTCCTATTGTTGTTGTTGTTGTAGAGTTTGTGGCAACTGTTGCTGAACCGGGGTGTGTACGACCACGTGAAGAGGAACGAATACCATTATTCGATAAAGAGCGTCGATTATCACGCGTAGGACTCGCCGCTCCATTACGTGTTGTACGATCTGTAGAAGACATTGGCCTCACACCTCCTCTTCCTGAAGTAGCAGGAGTAGCAGAAGTAGATACAGTTCTTCCTTTTGGAGCAGCAATAATTTTTACCTTTTTCTTGGTTTTATCATCATCTTTTTCTATTGTCGTTGTCGCTACTGGTGGTTGCGGTGGTGGTTGTGCTGCTGCTGCTGCTGCTGCTGCTGGTAGTGGTGGTGGTGGTGGTGGTAGCCCTGCAGAAGGTGCAGTTGCACTAACGCTCGGTTGTTGTTGCTGTTGAGATAACTGAAGAACTGGTGGACCAGAGGTAAATGTCAAACCAGATGTCACTGGTGGTGGAACAACTGCTGTTGGGAGCTGCATCTGCTGTAGACGTTGTTGATCTTGTTGCTGTTGTTGTTGATGATGCAGAATTGAATTACTAGCCACTGTTGAGCTGGGTGTCATGCTGGTACTGGTTGTCAAACTGCTTCCCTGCGATGGTGGTGTGGATGCACTGGTTGTTCTAACAGTTTGCTGGATTGTATTATTCGTATTTATTAATGTCTGCCCATTTATACCATTCTCTCTTGTAGAGGATGTGCCGCCATTGTAAGGTGTCATCATCTGCATTGGTGGTCCTGTTGGAACTGGTGGTACCCTGGCTGCTTCTGTATACATAGCACTAGGGGCATTAGATACTTTGCCGGCATCTATATCATGAGCCACAGGCAAAGTAACAGGTAATTGTTGTAATGGCATTACCATTGGGGGAGCTGTAGAAGTATCTGCAACAGATGGTTTTCGCACCATTGGTTCGTTTATATTTTGCATGTTTGTTGTTGGGATTACATTCCCAGTGGACGTACCTGAAAAAGACGTCCCAATGGGTTGCTGTTGTTGTTGTGATGGTTGTTGTACGATAGAAGGAGTTCGAGAAACAACTGGTGGTGGTGGTGGAAGAGTGGATTGCTGCATCTGTTGCTGTTGTTGTTGTTGTTGATATGTCCCTTGTGATGATTGCTGTGGGGGTCGGGCAACTATAGTTTCATTTGGGGTCATTGGCATTGCCAATTGTGGTGGTGGTGGTGGAACTGCTGCTGTTGGAGGAGGAGGAGGAGGAGGTACAGTTGATGTTAATGCTGGAGGTGGAGGTGGTGCTGCTGATGTCGTTGATGTTGTTGCTGTTGTTGATGATGCTGTTGCTGTTGATGTAACTGCAGCGTATGCTGAAGTAAGATTGGGTGGTCCATTATCATCTCTTAGAAATGGTGGAAGATCATTATCCTTAATGGCACTCTGTTGTGTAGATGACTGTGATTGTAATTGTGATTGTGATTCTGCCAATACCACTTCATACGATATATCTAATGATCCACAACTTCCATCACGGGCCTTTTGTGAAAGAGCGACATTCCCACCATGCCCCAACTGTACACTACGCCGTACCTTTGGAGATGCCGAGAAGAGTGTGAGTGTGGCACTACCAAGCAATTCCTCTGTTTCTGTAAAAGGTACTTTATTATAAACACGCAGGGTGAGAATGGTTGGTAGTGGACAGGGAGAGAAATTGAAGGTGGCCTCGTAAGAGGGATTCGTGCTGCTGTTGACTACACCGGTGGAGTGGGATTGTTGGCCAATCGTTGCAGTGACGAAGGGATTGGATGTGCCGTTCGGGTTAAGCCCCACAAGAGACTCGGCCCGGTGGACGGTGAGGGTCACTCGCCCCTGTTGAAGGCCGCCATCGAAAGACATGAAACTCTCTTTCTCTCTCTGTATGTAAAAAGTAGAAGAGTTCTTGTTGATATTATTATTATTATTATTATTATTATTATTATTATTATTATTATTATTTTGTTGGGGTCACTGTACCCTTTTTTTTTTTCTTTGGTTTTTGTATTGTTTTCTTTTTTTTCTTTTCTTTTTTTTTTTTTTTTTTTTTT